GCAGGTTACCCCGCCTCTCTGTGCCTCTGGCACTTCTGTAAAATAGGGATGGCCCCTGCAGGCCTCAGGCACGTGCCATGAGCTCAGACATATGCAGCAGTTATGAGAGTGGCCTGGGCCTGCCGGGCACAGTGGCTCACGCCTGTCATCCTAGAACTTTGGGAGGCTGAGGTGGGCAGATCACGAGGTCAGGAGTTCAAGACCAGCCTGGCCAACATGATGAAAACCGGTCGCTACTAAACATACAAAAACTAGTGCTAGGCACGGTGGCTCATGCTTCTAATCCCAGCACTTTGGGAGGCCGAGGTGGGCAGATCACAAAGTCAGCAGTTCAAGACCATCCTGGCTAACATGGTAAAACCCTGTCTCTACTAAAAATACAAAAAGTTAGCCCCTGTAATCCCAGCTACTCAGGAGGCTGAGGCGGAAGAATCAATTCAACCCGGGAGGTGCAGGTTGCAGTGAGCCGAGATCGCGCCACTACACTCCATCCTGGATGCCATCTCAAAAAAAAAAAAAAAGAGAGTATTTGGTGTGATCCCAATGTAAAAATAATAATCATTATTGGACAGGTGAAATATGAGGAAGGAATTGAGCTGAAATGTTCAAGCAACTATTTGAGGTTGGAGAGTTTTATTGTCTGTTGCATTTTCCTAATGGGTTGGGAGAAGTGTGGCAGAAAAATGGAGAGGTTAAGGGTGTCCATTGGTAGCCCCAGAGCTGGGGTTCCAGCTGGGAGAGGTCACTCGGGCCCTGCTGCCCCTGCCAGCATCCCCTCCTCTTTCTCTGTCCCAGTCTTCCTGCCTGGGAAAGCAGCAGACATTCTCAGGGCTGTGGAGGGATAGGGGAGGCCCAGAGCCCAGGGCAGTCCAGGGAGTGGTGTTGAGCGGGCATCAGCCCCCAGGACTCCGGCGGGGGGCGGGTCTCTGCATTGGGATTTCTGTCTTGTGCCTTCAGAAACCCAATGGAGGCAACGTATCCACACATATTCTACTTCCACTTTAAAAACCTACGGAAAGCCTATGGTCGGAACGAAAGCTGGCTGTGCTTCACCATGGAAATTATAAAGCAGCGCTCAACTGTCTCCTGGAAGAGGGGCGTCTTCCGAAACCAGGTAGCATCAAAGTCCTAGTTACACCCCAAATAGGAGCTAAGTAGCTGGGAACGCAGAAAACACAAGAAGTGACATGCCCGGCACGGGCTCTCCTGTGTGTACTTTCCTTTTACATTTCTTTTTTTCTTTCTCTTTTTCTTTTCTTTTTTCTTTCTTTTCTCTTTTCTTTTCTTTTTTTTTTTTTTTTTGAGACAGTCTCGCTCAATTGCCCAGGCTGGAGTGCAGTAGTGTGATCTCGGCTCACTGCAACCTCTGCCTCTTGGGTTCAAGCGATTCTCCTGCCTCAGCCTCCTGAGTAGCTGGGATTACAGGTGCCCGCCACCACACCCAGCTAATTTTTATTCTATTTTTAGAAGAGATGGGGTTTCACCACGGTGGCCAGGCTGGTTTCGAACTCCTGACCTCACGGGATCCACCCCCCTCGGCCTCCCAAAGTGCTAGGATTACAGGCATGAGCTACCGCGCCCAACCTCCTCCCACATTTTTAAGTCCGTGGCCCAGATCTTCCTCCCTGTCTCTCCTGGGATCGGATGGTGGAGGGGGTTTGTCTCTTCCCAAAAGGCTTTGCTTAGAGCCCAGCACCCTCACTTTTGACTTCCTTTCCCAAAATCTTGTCATGGAGCTGTGCGTCCGGAAGTCCTCGGGAAACAGCTACTGTGGGAAGCAGGGGCTGTGGTGTCTGGCACTGTGTCTGGGCCAGTCACTGCTGGGCTCGTGAGGCCGCCCCTGCCACTGCCCTGATTCCTCGATGTCAAGGACACATCATCACAGGATGGTGAACCCTTGCTCCTCACCATGCCGCCCCCACAGGGGCCACTGACCTCCCACCCACCCAGTCATGTCCCACCCACCCCTGCAGCCCCCACTGCCCAGGCAGGAGACTTTTCAGAGTGTGTTCGAGGAGGGAGCCGCCTGTGTTCTGGGCAGGCCTGGCCTACAGCAGTGCTGGCCTCGGAAACGCCCAGGACTCAGGAGTGAAGCACAAGTGTTTCCAGTCCCCACACGCTAAAAAGGCAGCAAGAACTGGTGGAAGACATTTTAATGTCTGCATTAGCTCAATTATCTCACTTACGATTTCAACATATACTTAATATAAAATGCCTCATGAGGGAGTTAAAGTTTGTCTATTCTCACAGTGAGATTTTGAAATGAGCTGTGTATTGTTCACGGACCAACGTTTCTAATCAGAGCCCCATTTCAAGTGCTCAGTAGCCCCTGTGGCCAACCTTCAACTCCATGAGCAATGCTGGTCCAATGACCTGCGTAGCAGAAGGCAGACAGGGAACAAGGACGACCCCCATAGGGCCAGGCCGCAGCAGGGGCTGAGGATGCCTGGTTAATGGATGCCTGGGGAACAGGATGCCAGAAATCACACATGACCTGTGACGAGACAGGGAAAGACTCAGTAAAATAAAGAAGGAAGAGGCCGAGTGCGGGGGCTCACGCCTGAAATCCCAGCACTTTGGGAGGCCGAGGGGGCAGGATCATGAGGTCGGGACTTTGAGACCAGCCTGGCTAACATGGTGAAACCCCATCTCTACTAAAACTACAACAATTAGCCAGGCATGGGGGTGCGCCCCTGTAGTCCCAGCTACTCGGGAGACTGAGGCAGGAGAATTGCTTGAACCCGGGAGGCAGAGGTTTCAGTGAGCTGAGATCCCGCCACTGCACTCCAGCCTGGGTGACAGAGCAAGACTCCAACTCTCAAAAAAAATAGAGGAAGGGCCCGGTGCGGTGGCTCACGCCTGTAATCCCAGCACTTTGGGAGGCTAAGGCATGCGGATCACAAGATCAGGAGATTGAGACCATGCTCAATAACTCAGTGAAATCCTGTCTCTACTAAAAATACAAAAAATTAGCCGGGCGTGGTGGCAGGCGCCTGTAGTCCCAGCTACTTGGGAGGCTGAAGTGGGAAGATTGCTTGAGGACAAGATGGAAGAAGGGAAATTCTATGAATAAAAAGCCCTAGGGCCTACTATGTACCCAGAAAAATGAAAAGTAAAGAAAATAAAGCAGTGCATGTGGTTTACGCTCATAGTCCCAGAGATTTGGGAGGGTGAGGCAGGAGGACAGCCTGAGCCCAAGAGTTCAAGATCAGCCTGGGCAACATAGTGAAATCCTGTCTCTGCAAAAATTACAAAAAGATTAGACAGGCGTGGTGGCACGCACCTGCAGTCCCAGCTAATCAGGAGGCTGAGGTGGGAAGATTCCTCGAGCCTGGGAGGTGAAGGCTACAGTCAGTCCAGATCGCACCACTGCACCCCAGCCTGGGCAACAGAGAGAGACCCTGTCTCAAAAATAAATAAATAAGGAAACGCCCTGGGGCTCCAGGCCCGCCCTCTACTCCCATCGCCCCACCCCTGCACTCCTCCTGCTCCTGGTCTGAGCTCCCCCTTCCCTCCTCGTCCTCCTTCCCTAGGTCCATCCTGAGAGCCGTTGTCATGCAGAAAGGTGCTTCCTCTCCTGGTTCTGCGAGGACATACTGTCTCCTAACACAGACTACCAGGTCACCTGGTACACATCTTGGAGCCCTTGCCTAGATTGTGCAGGGGAGGTGGCCGAGTTCCTGGCCAGGCACAGTAATGTGAAGCTCGCCATCTTTGCTGCCCGCCTCTACTACTTCTGGGATACACATTACCAGCAGGGGCTCCGCAGCCTGAGTGAGAAAGGGGCCTCCGTGGAGATCATGGGCTACGAAGGTGAGATGTGGGGGACTGAGGGGAGAGGATTCGGAAGGGACAGCATGAGGGGCAGGTGGGGCTGCAATGCCGTGGGGCGGGACAATGTCCCCGGGAAGCCTGCAGGGATGGGGCCAGCATCCACTGTAACTGGCAGCCAGGAGACCTGGCCTGGGAGGGGAGGGACCAGGGCCTGGAGAGAGGCCTGCTGGGTCCTCACTGCTTTCTCCTCGTTTTTTCTCAGATTTTAAATATTGTTGGGAAAACTTTGTGTACAATGGTGATGAGCCGTTCAAGCCTTGGAAGGGACTAAAATACAACTTTCTATTCCTGGACAGCAAGCTGCAGGAGATTCTCGAGTGAG